ATGGGCTTTGATGAACAAATGCTTTTGACATCAGTTTGAGATACTTCTGAGACCATTCAGAATTCATTGCAGGTGCAGTTGACCTACACTTGACCTCATTCAGCTGCTATTGCATTCCCAAAGACTTGTTTGGGGAAAAAAGCAGTTCTGAAGCAAAAATAATTTGATTGATGCTGGTCTTAAGTCTTGCTCTCATACATGACCAGAGCAACCTAGTTGGAAAGTTCTATTATTTAATTAGTAATTTACTAGAAACTTTTAAATATGTTTATTCTAATTCACTCACTAATCTTCTCCTCATTAAGAGTCACTGCTCATGGGATAAATTAAATGACTTTGAAAAAATTGAGCTTTCCATAAAAATACAGATCTCACTGAAGGTGATATGTTATTAAGTGGAAATTATCAATTTAGTTTGAAATATATTTTATTAGTGTTTAAGGTGATTCGGTTTCTTTTATATGAGTTTTTCTGTTGTTTTTTTATCACAGTGTTTCTTTCTGTGAAAAAAACATAAAATAATGAGGCTAATGAGGGTTTGTTTTGTGAAGTAAAAGTGCTCAGTTTTGCTTATTGAGATTTTTTTTTTAGTATTTTGGGTAGTTTAGTTTATTCATTATATTTTCTTACTAATTTTTTTTTTGTAACAGTTTTCTTCTTTCTGTAAAAAAGCGTAACATAATGAGGCTAATGAGGGGCTGATGATTTTTTTTCTATCTTGCATAAACAGAGATTGTGGCTGTAACTCATTGAAACCTTCAAAAATTCAAAACCATCCTTATTTTATCTTCCCCATGGCTCCAATGCATTTTGCCAAAAAAGGGACATTTTGCAGAAATTCCTCAATGTTCTCAGACATTTAATACAAAGAAAACTCTCAATTTCATTCTCTCTATTCATGTTTAAAGATAAAAGATCATTTCACTGAATAAATGTATGACCTAAATATATATTTTGTTTTTAAGATGTGATTCTACTCCACCACCTCCTCCTCTCTGTCCTCCTTCTGTACAACAAGAAGCAGTGAAAAAATGCTGGATCATTAGACAAAGTGATGGACCGTTCAGCCCTTGTCATCCTTTTGTACGTCCACACCAGTACTTTGAGAGTTGTATCTTCGATCAGTGTGTCACAGGAGGAAATGATGATCTACTTTGTGGTGTCCTGGAATCCTATGCTAAAGCTTGCGAAGAGTTGGGTATTATATTGGTTGACTGGATAAATAATACTATTTGTGGTAAGTCTGTAAAATCTTTTTTAATTACATTTATATTGCAGTAAAATTCTCAATATATAACAGCAAAAATAATGTTCAAATTTTTACAGATCCAAACAGACCACCAACAACACCACCTATGACATTTACTACACCAATTACTACTACTACTACTCTTCCAACAACTGCCTCCACCACCACAGCACCTACTGTTTCAGGTAAATTAACCTATAGTGTCAGGTATATGTAGTGCTCTCTGAACACCTTATCAGTTATCAGTGTTTTACATACTTTCACCCCATTTAAAGTGCACATATCCAGTGCTCAAGGAATATCATCAGAGTGCCACAGCATAAGTGTGCTAGCATTCCAATATTAATTCAGAGGTTAATGGGTCAAAACACTTTTTGGTAAAGTTTAATAATTGAGTACTGTTCGTGATACTTTTTTATTTGCACTAACATACAATTTTGAGGACAAGCTTTCGGGGTATGTCTCTCAAGATGGTAAAAGTTTAGAAATCCACACATAAGTATAACCTTGCCTGGTTCAAGTAGGTAGATTTCAAGGGACTGTACTCACAAGGAATGAAGACCCTGAGGTTTTTCGGATGCCAGGCACAGAAATAGTTAGAGAAGCAGGGATTAGGATGTCTGCACATTTGACAAAGGTGTTCTTGAGGCTCAGAGTCTAGTGCTTGCTTGATATTTGCCAGAGCACCCCACAAGGGTTAATGGGGTTTGCTGCAGGGCAGCTCTCAAAGTGGTAGCCCTCAAACACACCTGTGCAGGCTACAGTTGACTAGATACTATGAAGACTAAGAGTCCCTGAGATGTACTGGATCAGGAGGGAAAGTATTTTGCAGGGCAAGGACACTGGGAACACAGGAACAGAAGAGAAAGTAATTTGTAGTACTGAGGCACTGGGCAGTAGGAACACAGGAAGAGTAATAAAAATCTCTATAAGCACTGGGGTTCATGATTCTCTGGCTCACAGAGGAGAAGTCCATCAGAGCACTGAGGTTCAGAATTCACAAAGCAGACTATTGCACAAAGAAAGCAGGTTCATGAGGAAAGTTCAAGGTACACAAGAACAAAAATGTTGGAAGAATATACAGGTGTGATGATGCCGGCAGCTCAGACAAGCACATCTGTAGTGACTGGAAATAAGGGAATCTCTCAGAATGGACAATGTGCAAGAGTACAGGCACATGCGAAGCCTCGGGAGATAAACACCAGAATAAAGCAAAAAGGCAACACTGGAAACAGGAATTTAGGCAGAAATAGTGGGTCACAGGGATCCTCAAGAAATTGGATACAAGCTTCAGGAGACACAGGGAGTCCAGTATCTAGTGGACTGACATGTTGCCTCAAATGCAGAGAAACAGGTGCACTAGTCTTTAAAGATAAAGAATTATCTTAAAGATAAAGAATTAATTGAGTAATTCGTACATAGGGAAAAAAAGTGCTGGATCAAGTGTGACATATTGCTGTTTATTCACTGGGCTAGACAGCTATAGTCTTTGCTCCCAATGCTGATACTAAATATAATTGCACCATTGCCATATAAATATATAGGCTTTTATCATAATTCTTTTTATTTTAATAATTTAGTAATTTTAGTCATTATAAGATGATTACAGAATGCCTATCTGTACAAGCCCATCCCTGAATCTAGATCAGCAGCCAGAAATACCCAAGCTGGCAAGGCACCATTGAAAGGGCAAAATTGTGCGACATATGTAGTATAGTGTAGAGATGCAAGCACATTATACAAATCAAATGAGTCCTCCTCACCATACACCTCTTTGTGAGGAATTTAAAATAGGGTTCTGCCTTTCTCAGTGGAAATTTGCATTACCCTATTTGCATTACTCATATAAAAATTACTCTATTTATATTCTCAACAAGTTGCAGCATTATACATTTGAAATCTGAGCATTAGTATATTCACAATGTTAATATCAATAGTTAAAAAATATATAGTTTTGTAACAGAAGTGCAAAACATTTTTCTCGGTCTTGTCTCCTTAACACAAATCGGGTAGCCTAATATTTGTCCAACATTACAGGATTCTTCAAATGATTTCTATCTATTCAGATTTTTCAGGGTGATTTTGATAACAAAGCAGCTAAGTGTTGGGCATGGGACATCTAGTTGTGATAACTAAAGTAGTACAGGTCTAGAGGGCAATGTTAAAGGCAAATTAATCAATGTAAAGTGCTGTTGGGGGGTTGATCAATAAACCATTTTGTGGGGTTGACAATCACATGATCACCATAACTAACCAGTCATAGTGAATACAGATCACAGGGAAAGTTTATTTTGATAACAAAGGCTTTAATTACCACTGGAATTGAAAAACTTAAAGTGGAGTTTCACTCACACTGTAAAAAAATAAAAGTCAGCAGCTACAAAAACTGTAGCTGCTGTCTTTTAAAAAACAGACACTCACCTGCCCCACAATCCTGCAGTGCCCCCGCTGCAGCCCATTTAACCGGCTGTCCTGTATTTAAGTCTCCGGCATCTTCAGAGTGGGCACCCGGCTGTGACAGCTTGCAGCTTTACAGCTGGGTGCCCACTGCGCATGCGCAAGTAGTGCTGCGCTTCCTGAATGGCCTCATCATCTTCTGGGACCTGTCACGTGTCCCACAACGGGAAGGGAGGGTAGGAGGACAACTTCTGCTTCCGATCGCCTAGGCGATCACAGCGGAAGTGGGAGCGAGTACCTGTCAATTTCGGGTACCTGCTCCCTAAAGGTGCCAATCCTTAATGGGGAGTGGGGGACCAATCTTGAAAACGTAACTTCCCCTTTTAGGTGGAACTCCGCTTTAAGGATGTAAATGTGTTGCCTCATCAATAATGGGGGTAAGCCAGCAGCATGGAATTGAACAGAAGTGTTTTCAGGTTTTGGGAGCATAGCAATAGACTTTGGTATCCTCTCTGGCTGAAAAGGGCTCTAGATAATTGCTCAGTTTGCATATGCCTAAAAAAAGCCCCACATGAAATTGTTTTTATAAATTCAGAAGAAAGACTAATTTGTTGTCTAGGATCTCTTAATCAGATACAATATGATAAGGCTGATTTGACTTAAGTCATCCACTCATGTAAAAAGTAAATTCTTCTTTATTGTTTAACCTGTACATTATTAGGTATTTTAAGTCAGCACAGCTACAATATATGAAAGCGTGATACTGCTCAACTCCTTTAGTAAATTTACCCAAATAGTTTGAATGTGTGTGTTTCAAACTAAATGTGAATAAAATATGTTCTATTATGAAGGTTAGACGTAAACTTAGAACTGTATTGGCTTAAATATTTAGTAGTAATACCATCAGCCTAATGATCAATACATTTCTTAAGTATATTCTATTCCATATACAACAGTACCCCTTACACCGGAACACACAACATCTTCTGCTACCATGATTTCTTCTGCAACACACACCACAGAAGTTACCCCATCAGCGCAATCAACAACTTCTACAACCACTACCATTGATACTGGGACAGTGAGCTCTACTGCAACAACAAGGAGCACAGCAATTCCTCCAACAGAACATCCAACTGCTACAGATAGTATTGAAGACTCCACAGTTTCTGGTACACCACCTACATCTGCAAGCAGTAATACCTTTAAATCAACTGCTGCTTTAAAGTGTAATGAAAAGCAGTTTTGTTTAGAGTAGAGAGGGATTAGAACACTTGTCAGTTTGTATTGCTGTCTGTCCCCTTTTAGGGAGAGTCACCCTCTCTATTTGTCTTGTTTACTGTTGTCATTGAAGATGAAAGTAAAAGAAAATCCAAAATTCTGGACTAACACCAGAACACAAATAGAGGAGAAATCTTCCAATAGGGATGCTAGTTCTTGTGGTACTGGAGACATGCTGGGATTCCCTCACTTTAGAGGGATTTCTTCTCACTTCCTGTTTTGGCTATGGGACAGGGTGAAAGTAAATTTCCCCTATAAGACACAGATTTTTTTAAAAAACTGGACAGCGTTTATCTTTCTCACTTAGTCTATCCAAAATGAAAAAGAAAACAAGTTTTGTTTTTTAGTTACATTTCATATGTTTAGGTATTTAAGAGTAATACTGTCTGCCCAATTACCAAAAAAGTTAATGTCTACTAATTACTCTACCATAGTATTCCTTCCAACATAATTTCTTCTACAAGCATGACAATCAAGCACCAGTATTTTTAAATGGAATGGTCAGCAATAGCAGCCTCCACCATTCCTCAATGTAGACTTTATTTAAAGCTGAATTCTAAGTAATATTCTTTAGTTTTTTTTTTTGTCTTGCATAGTTACACTGGTTCACCTTGGATCATGTAAGTATACAAATTCCAAACTTGACTGATCCCTGTGGAAGCAGAGAATCACTGTAGTGGCTAACGCTACTTCTGTGATCCTCGCTGTCTTCCGGGATCCATGCAAGCAAGCTACTCTACTGCATAATCACCACAAAATGATGTCTGTTCAGCGTGGACAGCATTCATAGAGCACCTTGTATTTTTCTCAGTGAACACAAACTATTCTCTGACTGGACAATGTAGAGATCATAACTTCCTGTCTCTCCACCTTGTTCAATCAAAGAAACACTTTTCATCTATAGAGAAAAATAAAAGACGTTCTCTGAATGGTGTACATGTCTGAGTGAGAGACAGGGAGGCTGTACAGGACTTGGAAGACAGCGAGGATCACTATAGTAGAGGTGACCACTAAATTGGTTATCTACTTCCGCAGGGATATGTTAGGTATGGAATATGTTTATTTACCCTGGTTCAAGCTGGACCAATATAACTATGCAAGAAAAAGGGAATTTAGTCTCTGCTCTCAAGGAGATTACACCCTAATGTCTCTATTTCGTAAGCATATACTGTATACTAGGGTGAACATAGACAGCAGTCACATAAATTACCAGCATGGAGCGTAAGGGGGAAACCCACACAACAGGCAAAACTCTGTGCAGATAGTGTCTTGTCTGGAATTTGCAGCTTGGACACCATTGCTTCAAGGCAGAAAGGCTAATCACTGTGCCACTGTGCTGCCGAGATAAAGCATAAATATCTATAAAGAAATGGGAATCACTTTCAATGTGACCATTATATATAGCTGCTAGCTTAGAAGTTTATTCTGAGATAGAAAGATAGGAAAAGAGTTCACAACTGTCATGGCCAACATTGCATATTTGAACTTAATAGGAAGGGTAGAATTTAAGCAAATTCAAGTTATGATGAAATGCTTACAAAACAAGCTGATCTTATGTTTCTTACCTTTTGACAGGTTCTACTGTACCAACAACACCTACTACATCCACCACACCTTTTGTACCGACGCATCCAGGTATATTTATCTGAAGAATTCTTCAAATAATGTTTCTTCCCATCTGCTGCTGGAAAAAAAAAACTGAGTTGGGCTGAGAGCCACTCCGCCATTCACAGGAAGCCATGTATTTCATCAGTGAATACAAGGCTTCCTCTAATTAGCTCAGGGGGGAGGAGAACAGATTATGTCATGACCTCCACTTCAACCAATCAGAGGAAGCCCTGTACTGATTGAGATAAAAAGATAAGGAATGAGTTCACAACTGTCATGGCCAACATTGCATATTTGAACTTAATAGGAAGGGTAGTATTTAAGCAAATTCAAGTTATGATGAAATGCTTACAAAACAAGCTGATCTTATGTTTCTTATCTTTTGCCAGGTTCCACTATAACAACAACACCTACTACATCTACCACACCTTTTGTACCAACACATTCAGGTATATTTATCTGAAGAATTCTTCAAATAATGTTTTTTCCCATCTGCTGCTGGAAAAAAATTGAGTTGGGCTGAGAGCCACTCAGCCATTCACAGGAAGCCTTGTATTTCATAAGTGAATACAAGGATTCCTTTAATTATCTCCGGGGGAGAGGAGAGCGGATTATGTAATGACCTCCACTTCAACCGATCAGAGGAAGCCCTGTATTGATTGAGATAAAAAGATAAGGAATGAGTTCACAACTGTCATGGTCAACATTGTATATTTGAATGTAATAGGAAGGGTAGTATTTAAGCAAATCCAAGTTATGATGAAATGCTTACAAAACAAGCTGATCTTATGTTTCTTATCTTTTGCAAGGTTCCACTGTAACAACAACACCTACTACATCCACCACACCTTTTGTACCAACACATTCAGGTATATTTATCTGAACAATTCTTCAAATAATATTTCTTTCCCGTCTGCTGCTGGAAAAAAAATTGAGTTGGGCTGAAAGCCACTCCACCATTCACAGGAAGCAGGGGAATACGGGCACTGACCATTTGGATTATCTCATGACCACTCAGCAATCAGAGGAAGTTCTGCATTCATGAGGCCAGGGGTCAGTAGGGGGCCCCATGAGATGCCTCTGGTACCTTTTTCATTGGCTTTTTTGAGTTTGGGCAAAAAGATTATTTTTGTACATATAAACATCAGGGGCCCCATGATCCCCTATTGCCTGGGGGCCCCATGAGTTGTCAGTCCACCCCTGACAGGAAGCCTTGAATTTCAGCAGGGAATACAAGGCTTCCTCTAATTAGCTCAGGGGGAGAGGAGAGCGGATTATGTCATGACTTCCACTTCAACCAATCAGAGGAAGGGTACAATCAAAATGTAGAGGATCAGAGAAGACGTGATCAAGGAAAGACAGCATTTATTGATTGAGATTAAAAGATAAGGAAAGAGTTCACAACTGTCATGGCCAACATTGTATATTTGAACTTAATAAGAAGGGTAGTATTTAAGCAAATCCTAGTTGTGATAAAATGCTTACAAAACAAGCTGATCTTATGTTTCTTATCTTTTGACAGGTTCCACTGTAACAACATCACCTACTACATCCACCACACCTTTTGTACCAACGCATTCAGGTATATTTATCTGAAGAATTCTTCAAATAATGTTTTTCCCATCTTCTGCTGGAAAAAAATTGAGCTGGGCTGAGTGCCACTCAGCCATTTACAGGAAGCCATGTATTTCATCAGTGAATACAAGGCTTCCTCTAATAAGCTCAGGGGGAGAGGAGAGCGGGTTATATGTCATGACCTCCACTTCAACCAATCAGAGGAAACCCTGTATTGATTGAGATAAAAAGATAAGGAATGAGTTCACAACGGTCATGGCCAACATTGTATATCTGAATGTAATAGGAAGGGTAGTATTTAAGCAAATCCAAGTTATGATGAAATGCTTACACAACAAGCTGATTTTATGTTTCTTATCTTTTGACAGGTTCCACTGTAACAACAACACCTACTACATCTACCACACCTTTTGTACCAACACATTCAGGTATATTTATCTGAAGAATTCTTCAAATAATTTTTCTTCCCGTCTGTTGCTGGAATAAAATTGAGTTGGGCTGGGTGTCAGCCATTCACAGGAAACCTTGTATTTCAGCAGGGAATACAAGGCTTCCTCTAATTAGCTGAGGGGGAGAGGAGGGTGGATTAAATCATGACCTCCACTTCAACAAAATCAGAGGAAGTTCTGCATTCATTGAGATAGGAAAATAGGAGAAGAGTTCACAATTGTCATGGCCAGACTTGCATGTTTGAACTTAAAGTGCTACTAAATCGATGACCCTGTATTCACTATATCTGGTCTTCCACAGTACACAGAATATGGAAGAGAAATTATTTTTGTAAATATAAACTGCTAAATACCTTTTCTCATCACCAGTACATAGCAGTCTTGTGACTTCTATCAGTGTCCGACTGAGCACTAGTTAATCTTGTAGGAGGAGTTTTCATTCTCCTCTGACTGTCCTATTGAGGCTGCATAACTCCTGAACCTCTGTCTGGACAGTGCTGATTGGCTCCATGCCGATCACATGCACCCTCCCAACCTGAAAAAAATTCTCTAGCAATACACAACAAACAGAGCATGTGCAGACTTGCCACTGCTGCTCTAACTAGGGCAGATGGATGGGGACAACAAAATAAGGGGAGGATCAGAGAAGACGTGATCAAACAGCATTTTTACACAATGCAGAGGCTTAACCCCTTAGGTTCCACAGTGAGTATTACAAGCATGCTTTAATGCATATACAGGCTGATTTTACTGTTGTGGGTTTAGTAACACTTTAATAGGAAGGGGTATTTAGCAAATCCAAGTTATGATGAAATGCTTACAAAAGCAGCTGATCTTATGTTCCTTATCTTTTGACAGGTTCCACTGTAACAACACACACCTACTACATCTACCACACCTTTTATACCAACGCATCCAGGTATATTTATCTGAAGAATTCTTCAAATAATGTTTCTTCCCGTCTGCTGCCGGAATAAAATTGGGTTGGGCTGAGTGTCACTCAGCCATTCACAGGAAACCTTCTATTTCATCAGTGAATACAAGGATTTCTCTAATTAGCTGAGGGGGGAGGAGGGGGCAGATTATCTCATGACCTCCACTTCAACCAATCAGAGGAAGCCCTGTACTCATTGAGACAGAAAGATAAGGAAAGAGTTCACAATTTTCAAGGCCAGTCTTGAATGTTTGAATTTATAGAAAGGGGTAGAATTTAGGCACATTCAAGTTATGATGAAATGCTTACAAAATGAGCTGATCTTATGTTTCTTATCTTTTTACAGATTCCTACAATAACAACACCTACTACATCCACCACACCTTTTGTACCAACACACTCAGGTATATTTATCTGAAAATTTTTTCAAATAATGTATCTTCCTATCTGCTGCTGGAACAGCCATTCACAGAAATACTTGTATTTCATCAGTAAATACAAGGCTTCCTCTAATTAGCTGAGGGGGAGAAGAGGGCAGTTTATGTCATGACCTCCACATCAACCAATCAGAGGAAGCCCTATATTCATTGATATAGAAAAATAGGAAAATAGTTCACAATTGTCATGGCCAGACTTGACATGTCATGGCATGTTTGAAATTAGAGTGTTACTAAATTTTTGACCCTGCATTCACTA